AGTGCTGTACAAGGGCCACAAGCAGCGCTCACCCTGGCTCTCTCCCATGCCCAAGCCAACTCTTTCTAGAACATGGAAGTCCATTCTCATGTCACCTCCTACCTGTCACAAAAAAAGCCAAGATCCCATCCAGGTAAAGTCAGTGTGGTGACAGGTGTGACCCTTCTATAAGGGAATGCAGTGTTGAGTCCACGCCCTAGGGTTAGGCTCACTGCAGCCTGTTTTCTGTGTTAGTACATTTTTTTAAAGATTTATTTATTTATTTATTTATTTATTTATTTATTTATTTATTATATATACAGTGTTCTGCCTACATGCCAGAAGAGGGCACCAGACTGAATTATAGATGGTTGTGAGCCACCATGTGGTTGCTGGGAATTGAACTCAGGACCTCTGGAAGAGCAGCCAGTGCTCTTAGCCTCTGAGCCATCTCTCCAGCCCCCTGTGTTATTACATTTTATTGAAATATAATATATACAGGGAAGGACACACCCAAACTGATGAGTGAATTCTGGGTTTAGGGGATAGTTCAGTTGTAGAGTCTTTGTTTACATGCACGATGCTCCAAGTTCTGTCCTCGGTACCACAGGGGTGGGGATGGGGGTGGGGGTGGGGACTGATGAATTCCGACAGCAAGAACACAACATGTAACCAATCAGATTAAAAAAAAAAGAAGAAGCCAGGTGAGACCGAGGCAGGAGGAGCACTTGAACCAGAGCTGGGGTCCAGCCGGGGAACATAGCAGGCCTTCTGCTATCCTCCTGCCTGTGTGACTCATCCATGGTGCAGAATGTGGCTGTAGACTGCCCATTCTCACTCACAATGGAGTGCTAGTGTTTACATTTACCCCGATTTCCATGTCCAGTCTCTGCTGGGGACTCCCAGTCCTTTCCAGTTTAATTGGCTATTTAACAGCGCCAGTCTGAATGGAACATTCCTTTTCGTTGTAGCTTCCTGTCCACTATAAGACACTTATACAATGTTGAACACTACTGCTCTATGCTTTGAATCCTAGAAAAACCAGTCGGTTCCTCTCCAATTCACCCTTTCATTCTTACAGCCTTTCCATTGTCCATCAGCACCACACGGGGCCTTAGCCACCACCTTCCACCATGTTCTTGCTGTGTGTCATTCAACAAACACTTAACTCCTCTGGGGCATCAGTTTCTTACCTGTAAAATGGGGATACTATTAATACTTTTAACTTCCCTGGGTAGAGAGTTAAATAAGGAAATTGTATCTGGAAGCAATTGGCCCATAGTTTCTCTCTCTGCCTCTCTTTGACTTGTTTAAGTATTTTTTAAAGATTTATTGTTATGTGGATTTGCATTTTGTCTGCATGTGTGTCTATGTGAGGGTGTTGGATTCCCCTAGATCTGGAGTTACAGACAGTTGTGAGCTGCCTTGTGGGTGCTGGGAATTGAACCCTGCTCCTCTGGGAGAGCAGCCAGTGCTATTAACCACTGAGCCATCTCTCCAACCCACACTTGATTTATATTAATAGCTTGTGATCACTGCCAAAAGCATTCTTATTTCCGGGTAGTGGTGGTGCACGCCTTTAATCCCAACACTCGGGAGGCAGAGGCAGGCGGATCTCTGTGAGTTAGAGACCAGAGCTAGTTCCAGGACAGCCTCCAAAGCCACAGAGAACCCTGTCTCCAAACCCCCAAAAAAAGCATTTTTGTTTCCCTTCACACCTCTGAGGTGCCCTGTTCTGGGTGGTGTCTGTGGACCAGGCCTCCAACAGCAGCTGAAGAAATCTGGCTTGTCCACTACAGAGCATTTGCTCACCTCTTTCCTGAGAAGCATGCGAGATGAGAAGCAGCATAGTTTTTACCCACGAGCAGTGGGTATCACTCAAAATGTGACCTAAACCAGGGTCATCACCCTGGGATCATCACTAATGGTGTGCCAGCTGCCTGGTGACAACCTGCTGGGACACCAATGGTGCCCAGAAGCCACTGTTTAAAGAAACAAGAATAATTTAATATCTACACAATAGGAAAGCCAAGGGGAGTATTTAATTTCTCCAGGCAGAAAACACAGAAAAAGCCCCTTCAAGCACACAGTGCAGAGACCTAGGAGCAGGAGACTTGGGCCTTGCACTACTGGTTGCTATGGTAACAGGATTTCACAGCAGGAGCTCATTTTCATATGACAGTGGCCAGCAAGAGAAGGGAAGGGCGCCTTCTAAAGAAACTTACTTGAAGGCTCAAAAAGGGCATCTGGAAGTGCCGTTAGGGGATGGGCACTTAAGGAACTCTGGAAGGGCAGACCTGAGGGAGCCCATCACCCCCACCCCACAGCTGTCACTCTAAAGCCAGCCCGGAAAGCAGCATGCTCCCCGGGATCCTGGCTGATGTCACAGCCTCCGGAGTCAGGGATCCTGTTACCCTGTTAATAAGTCCTTTCCTAGAGTCCAGGAGAGTCCCAAGTCACCAGTATGCCCCCCTGCACACTGGGCTGAGACTCTGAGGGGACACCGGAGATGCGGAGCACACACCTGCGGGACAAACATCAAACCCTTGTGTCTTAAGACAGCTTTGAATCTGGCGGACTGAGCTCCACCACAGCTCTGCCCAACCACAAGCTGTGTGATTCTGACAGGTCCCAGGTCCTCTCTGAGTTGGTATCGTGATGAAGACAATAATCTTGATATCTACCTCTCTGGGTGCTTCAAGAACACAAAATCAGCGAAGGCCTGGACCCCTGGTACACTGCCCAACACAGGACACAGAACGCCCACTTGGTAAGCGCTGCTGTGGTTAATAGTCAACAGTCAGGATTAAACTGCACGGAGCACCCTGTGACCAAGCCACCCATGAGCACAGAGGAGCAGAAGGCCTGAAATCTGGAAGAATCCATAGCTCTTGGAGGGAGATTTAGTTTGAATAGGGCTCCAGGCAGGCGACGCCGAGACAGAGGGGTCTCAGAAATCTGGGGGTAGTTTACCAAACACCTACAGGGTGTACAGTGCTAAGAATCCAGAGAAAAAAGGAAGACACTGCCATCAGGGAACCGCAAGACAGCAGTGGATAAGGACATAGAACCAGGAAAGGGGTCCTGGACCAATGGGATTTGGAGAAGGCAGGGGATCAAGCTTTCTCAGACAATAGCACCGGAGCCAGGTAGTGCAGAGAAGGACAAGGGAGCCGGTGTGGGGAAGTTAGCCGGTTCAGGATTGGAAGTCAGCACCAGACTGACAGCCTGCAAATCCCAGCAGAGTGGAACCCTGAGGGAATCCTGAGGGTTTCTTAGGAGCCAGTGACATCCTAGAGGTGACATGACAGATGGCTTGCTGCCTGGGGCTGGCAGCAGAACCCTGTATTCAGGCCTATGCTGTTCCAGGTCAGTACGAGGCCAAGTGCGGCCTCACAGAACGAGAAGGGTTGCTGTCTGAGACACCCATCCAGACTCAGACTCTCTTTGAGCGACTGTGGGGCATCCCAAAGCAAGCCTGGACAGGACTAGACACTAGACAGTGTGACCCAGAACCCTCCCCAAGACCATTGCATGAGAACCCATGAACTGGGCCTGGAAACCAGAAGCAAGGAAAAAGAACAAAACGGAAATAAAGGCTGCCAGTGGGGACAAAGTAGATAACCCGGGATGGACAGGGAGGCTGGCAGGAAAGCCAGCAGCTTCAGCTAAGTAGCAAGACAGCAGTCAGGCTGCGGGATTAGGGAGGAGAGGACAGAGCGGCAGGTGCAGAGAGCACTTGTGGAGACAATGTGACAGTGGAGCAAAGCTCACCTCACGGTTCTGCTTTTTTCAGATGGGAGCCAAGAGGCTGACAAAGACAGCGATGGGGGGGGCGCCATCTCTCCGGGTGGGGGCGGGACGGACCCTGAACTACAGGGTTGGCTTCTCCAAGAGGCTCTCGCCTCTCCCTGGGGTCCCAGGGACGCCCCTTTACCTCTTCTGCCCTCTGCCGCCCTGAGGATCAAAGCTTCCCCGCCGCACAAACCGGCTGACAGCGACCTTTCACCTGGATTCCACTGGCTCAGATCTCCCTGAGATCAGGTTTCCACCGTCAGCATCCTACCGCCCCCCTGGGCGAGCGCTAAGGTGTATCAGGACACACGGGTGGAAAATGGGGTCGCTCTGCCCTCGAGCTGCCAGGCGGGAGGCAACCACCTCGGAGTGCGTAGACGGACTGAGACCCCCGGGGAGCTCGTAGGGGTGTCACCACTGTGTGTGCGCGCGGCGGCGCCCCGCGTGGATTGAAACACTCCCCCACGCCTGTCAGCGGGGAGGGGGCTTTCAGGGGCAGAAGCCGCTCGCCACGGAGGAGAGCCTCCACCCCGGACTTGCACACCGAAGGGCTCCACGTGCTTTCGGATTCCCACTCCTGAACGCAGGCCAGAGGACTGGAGCCAAACGTCCAGGACCAAGGACACCCCCCCCCCCACACACACACACACAAGCCTATCCCTGAAAGCACTGGTTCCCGGCTCCTGACCCGGCGAGGAACTGAGGCACAGCAGGGCCCGCAGGCCCCTCCCGCCGCACGTGCGCGCTCGCTGGGCTCCGCACTTGTTGACTCGCTCGCGGGCGCGCTCACCCCAGCGCCGCCTGCCGTCCGCGAGCCGCCCGCGCGCCCTTCCCCCACGACCGCCCCCGCCCCGCGCCGGGGACAAACTCTGGGCCGCACGAGGCACGACCCACCTCCCGGGCTGTGAACCAAATCCCCGGAGTGAGAGCGCGGTGGTGGAGCGGATCGCGAAGCTGTCCCGGGACAGCTCGCGTGCAGCCCGGAGTCTCGGACAAGGGAGAGAGAGCAAGCCCGGGAGCAAGGTCGGCGCCAGGCCCTGTCCGCGCCCAAACGGTGACCAGGGACCGTTCCCACCCCGGGTTCCAACATCTCCAGGATCTGAGCTCCAGCCACGGGGCCATCCGCTGCACGCGCTCTGGCCCCCATCTTGGAGCCAAACACACACAGCCGGACCCCGAGAGACTGGGCTCCAAAAGGGGGGCGGCCCCACTTTAACAACACTTACCTGGGGGGTTCGCCCCGACCGGGCACGCTCCCTGGCTGCCCTCTGGCGGCCACATCAGGTACCCGGCGCGCGCCCCGCCCTGGTCCGCCCCCTCTGACCTGGGACCTGTTCCTGCCAGCTGAAGAGCCCTGGCCTGAGGCCATCTGATAGATACCATCCCTTTTAGATGGATGGCTCTTCTTGGCACCGAACGGATCTCGAGGGCTCCTTTTTGTTACAGATAACGTACAGCTCCGTCTCTTCTTTAGGGAGCTTCAAACCCCTTCTAGCAACCCCAAGACGCAAAAGATAGGTAGGGTTTCTGGAAACTGCAGCGGTGCCTAACACTAGCTGGAGCCAGTGTGTTTGGTGAGTGAATTACTGGGGGAGGCACGAATGGAGGCAACGTGCTACAGTCTGCAAAGGGAGCAGCCACACAGAGCCTAAGCTCCTGTCTGCTTTGTCTTGGCTCCACCAGTTCAAAACGAACCAAGCTGTATTCAGTTCCAGCCGCTGTGAGACTGAATGGTGCCTGTGCATCCAAGTGGAGTTGAGCCGTCTTTCCAGTCCACAAGACTAAATGTTTATGGAAAAAAATCCTGAGATGGCCTTGGAAATCAGTAGCCCAGTGAAAAGCCTGGCACTCCTGGTTGCCATATTTTAACTCAGCAGCCCCGATTAGTCCCCAGGTCATATGGACTTTCATCTGGGTTCTAGCTCTTCCCCGTGGGAAATGTGATCTTGTGTGAATCTGTAAGTGAGACCTGCCAGGAAGCTTTCCGTAGTGCAGAAATTTGTATAGCTGCCCTAGCCAGTAGCAACTGGCATGACTTCATTTAATTTGACGTACCGTAAATTGCCACTGTGTACTGGGCAGTGAAGTCTCAGCTTCGGGAGAGAGGAGTGAGATTAAACTCATGGGAAGCCCCTAACCCAAGGCTGCCTCACTGCAAGGGTCAATAGTGGGAGTTCCTACCGTCATCATCTTCCAACCGGTCATCCCCTAACCCCAGATCTCAAGGATGCGGAGCTACCTGTTATGATAAAAGTGTGAGGGGAACCTTGTAGGATTCCATGGCAGGCGTGGGTAACCGTGGTGGGGAACATGCCAGGCAGACAGAGCTTAAGTGAGAAGTTTTATTAGAAAGGGAAGGAAAGAGAAAAGAGGTAAAGAGATAGAGAGAGAGGACAGAAGAGAAGAGGGAGACAGGAAAAGTCCTGTCTGCCCCAGCGGAACAGCCCGAAAGACAGCATAAGTAGGTGTGTGTGTGTGGGGGGGTCTTTCTTTTTAAAGGGGTCCTTTGTGCTTGCATGCAGACTAGTAGTCATGGAACCCTGGGCTGACCAGGGCACTGCCTGAATGCATTCTGCCAGGTGACAGGAGCAGACCAACATAATGCCTGAATCCTTACACTACCTCTCCACCCAAGCTGGCTTCCAGCAGTTTCTTACAGTACTTGCATGCACAGCATACCGAGATGACCCAGCCTCTCTTTGGAAGACGGGCCAGGAGAAACTGGTCAATACCCCAGTTGCATTGTATGGTGCCTTGCTTTAGCTAGAGCTTCAGCCTGCTCTAGCAAAGCTTCTGGTGGGCGCTCGTGGCAGGCACTTCAGCCTTGTACTTGGGTTGGATTGAGGACTCACGCCAGTTTCATTAAGCTTTATTTCCTAAGTGTCCCACACAGGACTCCCAGCAGCGACACAACACCTACCCTTGTGTGTCTGTTACCTGGGCGCATCTTGCATATGAAAGGAGAGACAGCCTAGGCCTCCTGTCCTGCCCCAGTGTGAGATGGCCTCATTCTCATTGGTGGCTCCCACATGCCCACTGATTGGGGAGGGCACACTTCCACATGTCTGTCTGTATGTCTGTGAGAATGCCCACACATGTGAATGCGTCCACCATAGGCCAGTCACCAAGTGCACAGGCTCTCGCTCCAAGGTCCTTTTCTTCTTGCCAACTCTTCTCCCACTTTTATAGGGAAGAGACTCCTCCACACCCACTTGACAAAATTTCTGCTCTTTGATCCAAGTGAACTCTTTTCTTTCTTAGAAAGGATTACAGATGGAGTCAGGGTGTCACATGGGGGCAGAGTGCACCTGCCTTTGATCCTCAGCTTGAGAGAAGAAACAAAAACCAGGGTGTGGTGTCCGTCTGAAGTCCCAGCTACATAGCAGATCAAGGCAGACAGACTCCCAAGTTCAAGGCCATCTATGTCATCCTAGAAAAAATGAGAAATATAGCAAGGAACTTGTCAAAAAAAAATCACAGGTACGGTTTTAAGACTCTGTATCCTGGCCTGGCCTCAAACTCTGTATGTAGCAGAGGGTGAGTTTGAACTCTTGATCCTCTTACATTTACTTCTGACTGCTGAAGTCTCAGGCCTGCACCCCACACCTGGCTTATGCAGAGCCTGGGACCAAGTGAAGAGTCTTGTGTGTGACAAGCAAGCACCTTACCAACCGAGTCACATCCCCAGCCCGCATCCTTGCCAGCTGCAGATCCACCTGTTCTCTAAAGAAGGCAGACCCTTCATTCACTGTCAACAGACTGCCATTGTTTTGCAGCAGAGTAATTATGTTGAGGTACCCGGGACACAGGTGAACAAAATGGAAGAGCTTCTGCCTCAGCGGAGTTTCCACACAGAGAGGAGAATTAGACAAGTAAGGGGTCTCTGGTGTTGGCTGGCTGGTACGCTTCCCTTCATCTCATAACTCCGGATGGCACTTCCCAGTGAGATGGGTAGATGAGGACCCTTGCCAAGACTCCCTAGGAGCCCAAGCTGGTCCTTGGACCTTAACCCCCAGGGCCACTGAGAGCTGTGGAGTTTCCTGGGAGAGGGTGACGGCAAAGCATGCTCCCCCTCTTTAGCCCCCTCTGCCTCCCCCTTCACCATCACACCACACAGAAGGCCCTTCCAGGGGGTCCAGGATGCTCCCTGGCAGAATGTCACCAGAACCCAGAACTGCTGCCCCTGGAGAGGCAGAGTTTGGGGAGAAGTTTCTTGAGAACTGGGTTTTCATCCTGAAGTTTAGGAGAGGCATGGAGGTAGAGCAGAGTCGCTCAGCCACCACAATGTTGTCATCTTCATCAAGGGACTCCTTTATTATAGAGGTTATCCTGTTCTAATGGGCTGGTTAGCAGCCTCCCTAGCCTTTACTTACTAAAGAGTAGTACCGACTTGTGTCATTCCGTTGTGACAATAAAAAGTGTCCCTAGACACTGCTAAATGTCCTCTGGGGGTCACCTTCCTCCCTCCCTCCCACATCAACACCCCTCTTTCCAGTGAGAACCAAGTACCCAGGTTTCCAGTCTAGCAGCATAGGAAAGGGAGGGTGAGCAGCTGGGAAGCTCGAAGTGTAGGACAAAGCAGGGCAGGGGAGGGCAGAGCAGGGCAGGGGAGGGCAGAGCAGAGCAGGGGAGGGCAGAGCAGAGCAGGGGAGGGCAGAGCAGGGCAGGGGAGAGCAGAGCAGGGCAGGGGAGGGCAGGCCTACATCTCCAGGAGAGAAACCTAAAGGCCAAGAATGATCTGCAGAAGATCCTAGGTCAAAAAGGTGCCTGGGCCTCAGGGAACTCCAGCCTGTAGAGCTGAGGGGTGACCTCTATAGGCAAATATCCCTCAGCTGTCTCAGCTCACAGGGGCTCCTTGAAAGCCCCCCCAAAAGCTGAAGTCTGGAGGGGACAAAAGGATGAAGGGGGAAAGCCCCCTTCCCCTCTGCTGCAAGAGAAACAAGTGGAACGGGAAGACAGTGGGATTCAGATTCAGAAATCTGCGGGATTAAGTGAGGGTCTGGAAAAAAATATGTCCACATCAAACCCAGAACCTGTGACTGACCTGTTTTGTAAATATAATAATAATAATTTTTAAAAAAGAGAAAGAAGGCCGGGCGATGGTGGCGCATGCCTTTAATCCCAGCACTCGGGAGGTAGAGGCAGGTGGATCTCTGTGAGTTCGAGGCTGGGCTGGACCGATAGCCTCCAAAACAATACAGAGAAACCCTGTCTCGAAAAACCAAAAAAAAAAAAAAAAAAAGAGAGAGAGAGAAAGAAAAAGGTTCAAGTGTGGCAACACTCACCTTTAATCCCAGCACTTGGGAGGCAGAGGCAGGTGGATTTCTGAGTTTGAGGCCAGCCTGGTCTACATAGAGAGTCCCAGGACAGCCAGGGATACATAGAGAAACCCTGTCTCAAAAAACAAGTTTTTTAGCAGACCTTCAATTAAGGATTCCACAGTGTGATATCCTCAGCATCTAATAGCCCTCCACCCCATGAGAAGGGTCATATGTGAGGGCCATGTGAAGGGGGGACAAACTCTTGAGGGATGAAGACACGCAAAAGGCTACCTAGTGCCACCAAGAGCTGGGAGGAGCCAGGAGGGTGGCTCATGCCTGTAACCGCAGAATGGGGAGGAACTGCCATGGGCTCAAGGCCATTCTGAGCTACAGAATAAAGTAAAGCCCTTCTCAAAAACTTAGTGGTGGAGGGAATTTTGGAGATGGCTCAGTGGTTAGGAGCACACACTGCTCTTGCAGAGGAACCAAGTCTGGTTCCAGACACTCATATCAGGTAGCTTATATCTCCCTGTCATGCCTGCTCCGAGGGGCTCTGGCCCCTGACAGCACCAGCACTCACATGCATAGGATCACACACAGACACACACATCTACACATAATTTGATTTTTTTTTAAAGCGGTGGTGGTGGTGAGGAAAATGCTTGCCACATAATCTTGAGAAGCTGCGTTCAATCCCATAGCACACATAAAAGCAGGCAAAGACAGTGAATTCCTGTCATTCCCAGTGCTGGGGGACAGAGACAGAAAGACACAAGTGCTTTAGTGAGGCAGAACAGGAGGAGCTTCCCCTAGGCATCCCTGGGGCAGATGTGAAGGATGAACAGGAGTCTGCAAATGGACACCTGTGGGGCAGGGCAGGAGATATCAGGAATAACACAGAGGAGGCCAGCAGGAGAATGTTGGCAAGTTATAGAAAATGGGCAGACAGAGCAGAAAGCAAAGCTATTGGGGGTGGCAATGTGAGAGGCCATGATAGCCAATGGCCTGTAGCCTAGACACTCAAGTTTTGAGGTGCCAGCAAAAAAATAAAATAAAATAAAATAAAATAAAATAAAAAACCAGGGCTGAGGACACAGCTCAACTGATAGAATGCTTGCCGTTGTGCAGAAGATCCTGCACTCATCCCTGAATAAAACCAGGCAGGATGGCAAATGCCTGCAATCTCAGCACTCAGGGAGTAGACAGCAAAGCCAAGAGTTCAGGGTCATCCTCAGCTACATAGAGAGCTAGAGGCCAGCCTGGCCTACTTGAAATTTTGTCTCAAAGAAGAGAACCAGCAGTGTGTGGTGTGTGTGTGTGTGTGTGTGTGTGTGTGTGTGTGTGTGTGTGTGTGTGGTGTTGCTTCTTTCCTATTGATTCCACAAGACAAGAATAAATACATATCATATCCCACAGGTGAGCTCTCTTGCTAAGGGAAGCCTATGAATATGCATGTGTAACTCAACCTCATTATAGAGCTTCATGTATTTCCAAGTGTCCTTGATTTATGCAATACTCAATCTGTGCACGGATACCCAGGTGTCATGTTACAGACACGCTCCTGTGAGCACAGGCACACTTAGAATTCAGAGATTGTGCCTTGAACTCTCTTCTCCTTGCCTCAAGGCACTTGACACCCTTCTGGTCCAATAAACAGTAAGCCTCCTTCTATATGCTGCCTGTGCCACACACACACACACACACACACACACACACACACACACACAGTGGGACAGTAGAAGGAAATCAGCATCCATTTTTCACATTGCCGAAAGACAGGTGACGGTGACTGGTGATTTACCTTCTACAACATTCCTGGGACATCTTCTATGAAGCAGTTGCTCTGCCAGGTCCAGGGACCTCCTTCCTCTCTAGTTTCAAGGGCTCTGGCTCAGGAGATAGATGAAAGGAAGAGGAAGAGCAAGAGTCAGAGTCAGGCATGGTGGCGCACATCTGGAGTCCCAGCACAAGGATCAGGAGTTCAAGACCATCCTCCGCTAAATTGTGAGGTCAGGTTGTGGTTGAGCTAAATGAGGCCCTGTTTATAAAAACAAACAAACAAACAAATACAGAGGATAGAAATCACAACAGCAACAAGGACAATAAGCCTTCAGGGGAAAATATGAAAGTTGTTATGGAGGGACAGGAGAGATGGTTCAGCAGTTAAGAGCACTTGCTGCTATTTCAAAGACCAGGGTTCAGTTCCCAGCGCCCACATGGAAGCTCACAACTTCCCATGTAACTCTAATTCTGGAACAGCAGAAGCCCCTTTCTATCCTCTGCAGGCACCAGGCATGTACATGGGACACTTACATATACACATACGTGTAAAATACACATTACACATAACAACATAAATCAATCTTTAGAATGTGGCAGGAGAGTCTGCACTCCTATTTGCACAGAACCAGGATGCTGCAGACTGCAAGACAGGTGTCCCCTGGCACCTTCCTACAGTAAGAACTTCAGTTACTACTGGGCAGAAACAAGCCAGACTGAAGGAGTGACGTCAGAGGAACGAAATCCTGTAATCCCCTAAGGACCAGGGCTCAGACTTCCCTGTCCAGAAGACTGGAGGTGGGAACATTCAGGGTAGGCTACTTGGCAGAAACAGTACAGCCCAAAAGTGCAGGGGTCTCTAGATTTTTTTAAGACCCTTTATTTATTTATTTATTTATTGTGTATGCAGTCTCATTCAAGGTGGTTGTGAGCCACTACGTGGTTGCTGGGAATTGAACTCAGGACCTCTGGAAGAACAGTCAGTGTTCTTAACCGCTGAGCCATCTCTCCAGCCCTGGGTCTCTAGATCTTTAATGATGAGGGGCCACACTGACTAGCAGCCCCAGCCACTAGCACCACTGGCCTCAGAAACCCCTGCAGGCTGCCTTGGAGCAGCAGGGATGCAGGCAGCCCAGGGCACAGGGCAAGTAGCCCAGCTCCCTGTAGAGCTGGTGTGTGGGGAGCGACCCTCCACCCTCACCTGCCTTCCTTGCAATCCCAAGAGCCCTGGTACGGCTGGAATCCCAAGCTTTTCTACCAGGCTTGCCTTTACTTTCAGAAGTTTTAGATATATATGTATTAAAAAAAAGGAGCAGACAGCATAGAATATCTGTATCTACTGCCTACACACACACACACACACACACACAGAGAGAGAGACAGACAGACAGACAGAGAGAGAGAGACAGAGAGAGAGAGACACACACACACAGAGACAGATCTTTATTTGGAATTCTGTGTTGTTAGGATGGTACATTTGTTACAAGTTTTGTTTTAAACAGTGTCTCATATACTACAGATTGTCTTTGAACTCACTACATAGTTGAGGATGACTTTGAACTCCTGATCTTCCTGCCTTCGCCTCCTGAGTACTGAGACTGAAGACTTGGGCCTTGGTGCCCAGTCCACATTTGTGATAATGAATGATGTAAACTCTGATACATGTTTGCTAACTAGAACTCACATGTCATCCAGATTTCCTTTGATGGAACCCAATTCCATTTTCTCTCCCAGGATCCCTTCCAAGACACCAGTTAATTTAGTCATCATGTCTCCTTGGTGGTCTCCTGGCTGTGACAGTTTCTCAAACTTGCTGCTTCTGATGACCTTCTCCAGTTGAGATGTATCAGACCCCTTCCCCCTCTCTCCGTGGTTTTATCAAACAGGCTTGTTTCCTGGGTTGGCATTCAACTCTGTAGGTAGAGACTCCCAGGTCTCCTCCTTTTCCCTCCAGAGATTATGAAGGACAGGGCACCCTAACCCTCCAGCCTTCAGCTTTGTTTCTCTTAACACTTTCCGGGAATTTTCTGTAGTCTTGGGGCTCCCTCTCTGACTGGGAACCAACAACCTGCAGGACTCAGTCCCACAGCAGCTGTCACCAGCAAGGCCTGATTCTATTTCCTCCTCTGGAGATATCCTACGGGAACAGGAGTATAAATCAATAACAACTATTTGAGATAAATCTGTTAGAGTTCAGTGTTCCGGAAGCAGCTGGGTGGGGGCTGGGTGATGGAGTCTGCACAGCAGTCAACATGCCGAAGGAAGCTGCAGTTCAAACAGGCCCCAGCTTCCTCTTAGCTGACAGGGTGAAGCAGCCTGGTGTAAACAGCTAAGAGAACTGCAGGTGAGTGAGTTGCAGCCTCCTGGGCCTTGCAGTGGGGAAAAGCCTCCAGACATGGTTCAGACTGCAGCATGAGAAGCAGCGTGGGCATTCAGAACCTGTCCATCACGCTCTGGATGACCTCATCTCAACCCCTCAAAGCCACCTCATGAGCTAATATTCTCCCCATTTTACAGGTAAAGGAAGCAAGGCTGAGGTCTCTCCTGAGGTTACTTACCCAAGATCACAATGCTGACAAATCTAGTTTCAGGATTCCAAGTGTGGAGCCTGCAGGACTGGCTCTCGCCTTTCCAACAACAGTCCAGTCAGGCCAGGGCCATCCTGGAAATGTGTGGCTCCTGTCTTCTCCACTGGTCTAGGCATGGGCAGAATTTAGTCATCTAGGCCCTCCCAGAACCGCCCTCCCTGGGAAGAGCAGGCTGGGCTTTGCTCCAGGCCTCATTTCAGTTTGTCCACAGTTACACAAAGGGAATCAGCCAACCCTGATCCTATGAAATCGTCACTATGTCCTTGTATGCATGAGGCAAGGTCCCCACAAAAGCACATGGTGCCGGGGCCTGGAGGCCTGGCCTGATGCTTACAACGGTAACTCCAGTTCCTGGGAATCCGACACTCCCTTCTGGCATCTACTAGTACCAGGCATGCACATGGTGCACCGACATATGTGCCGGCAAAGCACTCATGCCCACAGAAAAACAAATCGATAATAAATATTGTTTTTAAATGCAGGCACAGTGGCGCATGTCTGGAATCCCAGTGTTTAGGAGGTAGAGGAAGGGGAATCATAAGTTCATGGTCAGGCTGAAGAGATGTCTCAGCCATTGAACACTGGTTACACTTCCAGAGGACCCAGGTTCAATTCCCAGAACCCACACAGTGACTCACAATGGTCTGTAACTCCAATCCCAAGGGATCTTCCAATGTCTCCTGGCTCTTCACCAGAACTAGGCATATATGCAATACCCAGACATGCATGAAGGCAAATACCTACACACAGAAAATATATTTTGGTTTGTCAAGACAGGGTCTCTTTGTGTAAAAGCTCTGGCTGTCCTAGAACTCACTCTGTAGACCAAACTGGCCTCAAACTCACAAAGATCCATCTGCCTCTGCCTCCCAAGTGCTGGGATTATAGGTGTGTGCCACCATCACTGCCTGGCAAAATAATTTAAAAAAATAAATTCATGGGGGGCTGGAGAGATGACTTAGAGGTTAAGAGCACTGGCTGCTCTTCCAGAAGACCTGGGTTCAATTCCCAGAACCCACATGCTGCTCACAACTGCCTGTAACTAGAAATACATGCAGGCAATATGCCAATGTACATAACATAAAAATAAAGAATTATTTATAAAAAAAGTTCACAGTCAGTCTCAGCTACAAAGCAAATTTGAGGTCAACCTGAATTACAAGAGACTATCTCAAAAAAATAAAAATAAAAGCGAGAATTGAGGGTTTCACTGGGCCTGTTGGCACAAGCCTATATATAGTCCTCAGGGGTGTAATGTAGGAAGATCAAAAGTTCAAGGTTAGACTGGGCTGCATAGCAAGCTCTGTCTCAACTGAAACAATGAATTGAGGGTTTCTAGTCTCTTTCAATCATTATACTTTTACTGTAACTTTGCATCCTCAAACCAGATGTGAAACTGGTTTTATATGCTCTACGCCTTTGTGTAGCATTCCTATTTTTCTTTTCTTTTCTTTCTTTCTTTTTTTTTTTTTTTTTTTTTTGTTCTTTGAGACAGGGTTTCTTTATGTAGCCCTGGCTGTCCGGAAACTAGTTCTGTAGACCAGGCTGGCCTCTAACTTACAGAGATCTGCCGCCTCTGCCTCTGCCTCTGCCTCTGCCTCTGCCTCTGCCTCTGCCTCTGCCTCTGCCTCTGCCTCTGCCTCTGCCTCTGCCTCTGCCTCTGCCTCTGCCTCTGCCTCTGCCTCTCTGCCTCTGCCTCTGCCTCTGCCTCTCTGCCCCTCTGCCCCTCTGCCCCTCTGCCCCTCTGCCCCTCTGCCTCCTCAGGGACTAGGAAGAATATGAAAGTGGTAGCGGGTACAGCAAGCCTGATGTTGTCAGTCCTTCACTCCTCCCCTACTCTGTTGGTTTTTGTCCCACAATCCCTTAAATCAGGCTGACTACAAACCAGGTGTAGTAGTGCATATTTCTAGCCCCACGACTCAGGAAGCAGAGGCAGACAGAACTTGTAAGTTAGAGGCCAGCCCGTTCTACAGAGTGAGACCTGTCTCAAGAAGAGGATGAAGAGGAAGGGAAAGAAAAGAGGGTGCCAGACTTGCCACCATCTGGACATGGTGTGATTGTCTACCTGGTCATAGGGTCTGGCTGTATCTTTTCCCTTTTTAAAGAGGTGGGTGTGAGTGCTGAAGGCCAGATGAGAACGAGCAGGCTCCGTTTCTGTTTTAGCAGGCGGGGCACTTTTGTTACTTAATTTTACATTTTTCTCTTAAAGGTTGTATTTTATTTTTCTCTATGTGTATTTACAGGGGTGGGGGCAGGGGTAGGGGCAGGAGTGGGAGAGCATGACAGTGCAGGTGCCCTTGGAGTCCAGAAGAGGGTGTTGAATACCCTGGAGCTAGAGCTGGAGCTATGCAGTATTGGTCATCCGGCTTAGGTGCTGGGAACGGAGCTAGTACTCTTACCCTTCAGGCCAGCTCTCCAGTCTCTCCCCATTTTGTTTTATTTTTCAGAAAGGGTCTTTTATAGCCATGCTGGCCAAGGGTGACTTTAAACTCTTGCCTCTACCTCCCAAGTGCTAGAATTGCAGGTGTGCACCACCACAGCCAGTTTATACGGTGTTGAGGATCAAACTCAGGGCTTTGGGGCACCAGGTTTCCAGCTCTAGGTAGGCAAGCACTCTACCAACTGAGCTACAAGCCCAGCCCCCAGAATGAATAGGAAAATACCTTATTCC